ATATTTTAAAAGTAGATGAAGCACAAACATGTAATTTGTCTTTCAGGCTCACATTGGACACATGTGTAATCGCAGTACAAAGTAAATAACCAAATAACGTAAGAAAAGAGGACATATGCAAGTAAAAGTAATACGATGCAGGAAGTTCTGTCGCATATGTTCTTTGACATCATACAGAGGTGTGAAAAAGTGGATGCCCCCTTCTTGATTTCGTTTTTTTTTTAACTGGCAAAGAGTCTTTCACATTTATGTGGAAATGTTTTGGCCCACTCTTCCTTGCACAATTGCTTTAATTCAGTGACACCGGAGGGTTCGATTATGAACAGCCCTTTAAAGGTTGTGCCACAGCATTTCAATCAGATTCAGATCTGGACTTTGACTTGGCCACTCCATAACCTTCATTTTGTGTTTTTTCAGCTATTTGGCAGTTTACCAACTGTGATGTTTTTGATCATCGTCATTGTTGTGATGCAAAACTCAAATGCACTTCAGTTTGAGATTGCGAACATTTGGCCAAATGTTGTCCCACAGGATTTTCTAGTAAAGAAAGCAGAATTCGGGTTTCATCAGTCAGAGCATGTCATCGGGGTCCTGAAATAGAAGCAGCCCCAGGCAATTACACTACGACCACCATATTTGACTCTTGGTTTGATGTTCTTTTTCTGAAACATTGTTACATTAACGGCAGGTGTAACAAGACAAATATTTTTCAAAAAGGTTAAACTTTTGTGTTGTCAGTCCATAGAATATTCTCCCTAAAGTCTTTGGAATTATTCAGATTTGACAGCACGTTCTGTATTAAATCAAGTAGATGTTCCTTCCCATGGCCGTTCTCCACTCATTATTCTGACGTGATTCCTTCCAGCGTAGCACTGATGAACCACAGCTGCAGTCCAAATGTCATTGTGACATACAAAGGCACAGTGGCAGAAGTAAGAGCTGTGAAGGAGATCAGCCCTGGAGAAGAGGTAAGCGTCTACTCACACACGTACTCGATCACATCTATTCCGAATCAAGGTCAGTTCGGGTTCACAGTTGTTTGTTTCCTTTCCTTAGGTCTTTAACAGTTACATCGACTTGCTTTACCCTACAGAGGACCGCAAGGAAAGGTTATTAGATTCCTACTTCTTCACATGCCAGTGTACAGAGTGCACAACCAAGTCAAAGGTACGAGTGTCTGCCCACATGCACACAAATAGTGGATGTAAAAAGTCAGCACACCCCTGTTCATATGGTAATTATTTTGTGAAATTAAAAAGATTCCACCAAAATTGATAATTTCTAAACGTTCTCCACCATTAATATGACCTATAACCTGATAAAACTTAAAAAAAAAAAAAAACTTTGTGAAGAGAAGGGAAAACAACAACTGAGATAATGTGACAGAACTGGGAAACGCCTACTGGAACATCTGCATTGTATTTAGGGTTAATCAAGAGACTTTAAACGACAGTCAGTAACACTTGTGTGCTTACTCCCATTTTGGATGAATTTTAATGTCATTGGGTAATTCTGAACCCAGCCATAACCCCAGATATAAAAGGGTGTGCACACTTCTGCAAGCACATTTTCTCTCATGTTTACTTCCCCTCTAAAAAATGTTTTTTTTTCCTTCAGTTGAATTGTACACGTCATAGATCACAATAATTAGTGGAAAGGGTTTTGCAATTATTGATCTCTCGGTTTTTTTTTTGGGGGGGATTACAAAATCTTAGCATTTGAACAAGGATATGTAAACTTTGCATAGTCACTGTAAATGTGGACCTTCGAATAGGCCCTCATTCATCTTTGTAATGATAACATGTTGAATGACTGAATTCTTTTATATGCTGAAAGACAAGAATAAATCACTAAGAAAAATTAATAATGCAATCAAATTCTACCCAAATTTAATTTGCTGCATGTTAAATGATTGTGTTGTAAAACAATTTCAAATAACCTGACGACTGAAGAATTTATTTGTAATTGCTCAAAGCATGTTTTTTGTTTCATTCACAACCCATTCAGTAAAAGATTCTATGATATCAAGTCATGTTTCTCTCTCTTTGATCATAGGACAAAGAGAAGACGGAAATCCGCAAGCTGAGTTCCGGAGCACCTGAGCCAGAGGAAATCCGAGCCATGGTCCGATACGCCAAGAATGTCATCGAGGAATTCAGGAGAGCAAAACATTATAAGAATATCCTTTTCCACCCCTTCTCACATTTTTTTCTTTTTATTCTTAAATAAGTTCGATAACTTCACTCGTGACCCCTTGACTCTCTCTCGCACGCCCGAGCGAGCTGCTGGAAATGTGTGAACTCAGTCAGGAGAAGATGGGCACCATATTTGCAGACACGAACGTCTACATGCTGCACATGATGTATCAAGCCATGGGTGTCTGCCTCTACATGCAGGACTGGGACGGAGCCATGGACTACGGGGAGAAAATCATACAGCCATACAGGTAGAACATCCAGTATGGTTATTACTGTCCCTACAGTTCATTGCTTCACATTCACACACTAGCCACAAAAATGGGTACAGTACAGCTGTGAATCAAAAACTGAGCACGTATGAAAGGAGATATCGTGTGTGCGCAAGTGTCCCTAATGAAATGGCCAATAATTTGATAACCTTGCTCTCTGCAGTGTGCACTACCCGGCTTACTCTCTGAATGTGGCATCCATGTATCTGAAGCTGGGTCGCTTGTATTTGGGGCTGGAGAAGAAGACACAAGGAGTCAAAGCTCTGAAGAAGGTATGATAAAACATTCTGTTCTGGTGGTATACTGCATTAAATAAATAAATGTAGAGTGCATTTGGAAAAACATGCTCCAGAGAGTTTTAAGGTTGTGAACGCTTAAGCAGGGAAAAGAAACACCTCACTGTCCCTTTTTTTTGTTTGCAGGCACTGGCCATCATGGAGGTGGCTCATGGGAAAGATCACCATTATGTTGCAGAAGTCAAACGGGAGATTGAGGAGCAGACATAAAAAGAAAAAGGAATCAATAACCGAGGAGAGGAAAGCACACACACTGACTACATGGCTTGGGCCTTTTTTTTCCATCTTCTTTGTCTTGCTTCAGAAACGATTTGCTGTCATCTCTTCAAATTTTTGCTGAAGATGAGTACAAGCACCTTGTCACTGGCACACTTAAAAGGAAAACGATTTCCAAAGATTTCAGTTTTTTTGGGTCTGCTGTGGGCCATTTCTTTGACTTTATATCAGCATCATTTGTAACAAGAGCATTTTGACTCTGCCTTGCAAGATGCCTTCCGGACAAAACAGATGTCTTGGTTGGTGTTTCTTATGTCTTTAAATTCTCGTTTGTAATGTAATCTAAAGACTGAGCGTACATCATCAGGGACTCTGTAGCAACAAAAGAGAAAATGCGAACACTTGTCATGGGTCAGTGAGTTTTTGGTTTGTGTCTGTCATGTTTGCTTTAGCTTAAAAAAAAAAAAAAAAGACCTGCATGTTTTTTATAATTTGTTGTTGTTGTTTGTATGAGGCTTGTTGACCAAAAACACCACGGGCTTTAGTGAACTGTCCTGTTCTGAGTGGACATTCATCAAACACATTTAGGTACACCTGCACGAAGCGATGGCAGGAAACACTTCCAAATACATATTTTTCAATTAATCCCGCTTTGACGTCAATCAAAACTGAGCTTCATGTTTGTAAAGTCAGACTTTCTAATACGTTTTGGGGAATTCCTTGAATGAATATTTACAGTAATTGAAAAATACAGTACAAAATGTGTAAAATATCTGCTGGTCTGAGGCTAGCAAAACCATCTGTTTAAGCAAGTTTGTCAAGACCAACAAACGGTATTTAATTTATTTATTTTTCTCCTCTAAATATTTATGAAGCTGAGTATTTGACCAGAATATCATTGTGTTGTAGTCAGCTACTGTTTGCATACGTTTTAACAATTGAGTTGAATTATTGGCTCGTCGTGGAAGCTTGCTGTTGGAATTCTTTAACTTTGAATGAGTTCTTTTGGAAATCATTTCTGAGACTGCGTTACAAAGACTATATCACTTCTACTGGGTTTGCAAGGTCGCAATGCAGGGTTCATGTTCAAACAAGATGATGTCATTTGTGGCAAGCTTCACAGTTTTATGTCAGTCGTTTGATGGATCTTAATCATGCAATGCCAGCATGTATCTGTAGCGTTTCCACTTTTCTTCTTTCAATCATGGGTCCAGCTTACCTCTTGTCATGAGTTGTCTCACAATCGGTAGCAACTTCTGCACACAGGTGACATCGGCTCTGGTCTGTAAAATCGGGTGCATGACATGATGAGCTGTGCAACTGGATTGCAGAGTTACATTTAAGGGCTGTTGGTGATTCAGCATAATTGAGATAAATGCGCCTCTTTCCCAGTACTGTCATAAAACAAGACTAAACGTGTGGCACACGTTAAAAAAAGCCCAATCAATACACTCTAAATTCTGCATGAGCAAAAGTGTTTTGGTTGCATTTAACAAACTGTTAGTTTGTCAGGCATGGATAGTTATAGTACTTGTGGAATGCACATTAAAATATCTTTCTGTACTCGTCAGTGAATTCTAATAAATGGCATTATGGTCCTCAATTACAATCAGTAGTGTTTATTTTGGAGTAATGACAGCAATTGCCTTATTGAATTGTCTTATGACGCGTTGTGTGCGTGTACCGAATAAAATGGCTCATTTTGGGTCATTTATTTAAACTGCGTATGTCAATATGAATACAACTACACAAAAGTAAAAGGAAAGAAAATACCATGATCACTCTATTGTATACATAGTTTATACTGTATTTCATCGTTGTATCTATATCTTGAATGTCTCTAAAATGCAAAAAAAGCATCCATTTGAAGAACGAAAAGAAATGGGGGGAAAAAAATTGCTGAAAGATGTATGCACATACAACACATCGCCACGTGGTGGCACTGTGAAATGGTTTGTGTCTAAACCAATCATGTCGGGCGTTCAAGGTACGTCATGAGCTGTAGCCAATGACTGTCGAGCTGTAGGAAATGCGATTTGTTTTTTTAGAATTTGAATTTTCAACGAAACTCGTCAACAATCGTCGCCGAGAAGCATCGCGCCAAAGTAAGTTTTCATATTTACATTTGGGTGAATGCCTTGTCGTGTCATCATAAATAAACACGTTGCCCGATATTTCCCTCTGTGCCAATTCAATATTAAGAGTAAAGCTGACTTGTAGCTTAATTCCATGTTTAACGACAGACTAATGCTAAATCTAACGGTCAGCAAGTTCGTGCCTTCGGTACCATTTATCTTAAACTTATTACTATCAAAATCTTTCTTACAACCAAAACAAACTTAAGTCATCTTATTAACCTTGGTTTAATGATTGTTATCACAACAATACATCAGATAAAACTGAGTTCGTCACATACTAGTCCTGATTGTTAAAAATGCATTAGACAACGTTGGTAAACATAATGGCTATTTGGGATTAGCTCGAACAACATGTATTTAATATACCTTTTATAAATTAGTAAAAAAAAATACTACAGTCTCGATAGTGTGCAGACGTGTGCACATTGCAGCATGACGTCTTTGATCCAGTGGTGAAAAGGACACTTTGATTCGCTCCTCTTTCATCTATAATTGCTTCAGACAACAAAGTGCATGCAGCAGAGTGGTTAAGATTGCACGATTGTCTGTCTCTCATGTGTTGTCCTGTTTTATTTTGTCATTTTTTGTTAACTTTTCTTTTGATGGTGGCTCGGACACCCGCAGCGGCTCCTCTTGTTTTATGTTGAGAGGGAAGAACTTTCATCTCTGCTGTATGTTACGCACATTTGACAATAAAGTTGTATTCAATTCAATACCCCTTGAAATGCGAGTAAAATAGATTTTCAGCTCCTGTAGATATGACTTACTGTTTCAATTCATTTGTCCGTATAGTTTTGTTCTTACTCTAACCCAGCTCTTGTTTGATATCTAGCCAGGTGAGTGACCATGAGCTGGGCGGGGGAGGAGTGGAAGGATGGACTTCCAGGGAAGGCCCTGCAGAAGATCCAGGAGATGGAAGTACAGCTGGACAAAGTGAAAAAGGAGAGAACTCAAAAACAGTTCCAGCTTGACTCTCTGGAGGCAGCCCTGCAAAAGCAGAAACAAAAGGTCAGTGGTCAAAAGGGTTTTTATGGTTGGATTCTTAACCCTGGTGAGTGAAATTGTGTTCTTTCGTTGAGGGAAATTGTAAGTTGCATGGCTGCTCATTAAAAAATGCACCAAGGGGAAAAATCTATTCTAAACTGTATTGTATTTTATTTTTTATATAGGTGGACAGTGAGCGCAATGAAGCGTCTGCTTTGAAAAGAGAGAACCAGTCTTTAGTAGAGTCATGTGACTCTGTAGAGAAAGCTCGCCAAAAGGTTTTACACGATCTAGGGGTCAAAGAGCAGCAGGTGAGTTAGAGTTAAGTCAACTCTAAATAGGTTTAATTATCGGGCAGTAATTCGTACCATATTCCACTGTCATGAAGGTATAAATTGAAGTATTTCAAGACTGAATTTGAGATATTAAGAGAAAGTCATTCAGAAATCATCACATCAGCAACGTCATTATCAAGCATGTGTTTATGTAAATGTTCATGTTTGAATCTCATATTGGAAATTGTCTTGTTGGCGTTGTCTGATCATTGATCGACTGAGGTAGCTTTTATTTTAAATACAATATTGTTCCATGTGCAATACTACGATTGTTTGGCATAACAATATTCAACAGTAACTCAAATACGCAAACTATAGTTAAGAGCAAATTTAAGCAAATGTCCTGTGGGGCACATCTAAAATCAAAATGTGCACTATGTAAATTACTTTGTTTTAATAAAGGTGAGATATTTGGAGGGCCAGCTCAACACTTGCAGAAAGACCATAGAGCGACTAGAGCAAGAGCTTAAGAAGTGAGTTGTCTTTTTTTCTTTTGTGCAAATTTTCACTGAACAAAAGTTACTGTGAAAGTGCATCACTCATCCGAGACCACCAAATAAAATCTGATTTTGCCTTTCAGGTACAAAAATGAGCTGGATCGGTCTCAACCTGCTGGCTCTTCCTCCTTGGATCTGCAGCCATTTGTTACTCCACAGAAGAGTTTCTCCACTCCAGTTTCTGTTTACAAACAGCAAGGTATCCAGCTACTGTGAACCTGCACTACCTAACTTTTTAAGCTTCAATAAGTATTGTGGCACCGGCAAGAACACGTTTCACAAATCTGACTTGTAAACTTGTACATTTGCTGCAGATAACAAACTAGAGGATCTCCAAGAGAAATATAACCTGGAAGTAGAAGAAAGAAGAAAGCTGGAGAATGAACTCAAAGTTCTGCAGGTCAAAGTAAGTATGTCAGTCATAATCACTGAAAGTCTTGTGTGTAATGTACATTTTGCAAACTTCTTTCTTTTGTAGCTGTTGAATCAGTCCTCGGCCAGCGTGAACCACAAGGACATTGCTCTTCGCCAAGCTGGATCCTCTATTTTCCCATGGCAGCAACAAGATCAGGCGCACACCCGCCAGTCTCAGGAAATTACTGAAACACCTCTGAAGAGGCGTGGCACGTCCCTTTGGGATGCCCGCGAGGAAACGCCCATCAAACCCAGCCAGCGGATGAGCTGTACCAGAACAGCAGCGAGTCCGGCTGGATCCCAACAAATGGAACAACTGAAAATGCTCAATCAAGGTACTGTTCACATTATATGCACATAGAAACTAAAATATTACCTCTGTAATATAATAATCTATAATATAATTTTTACAAATGGCAAGTCTTATGATTCACTCCTAGCATATTCAGTTTCGACAAAATTAACTTTTGCCCTTTAATAGGTAATATTGAGCGTGTAAGTATAAATTTTAACGTTACAGGCTCTGTCTCCTCCCAACGGCAATCTCTATTTCGAATAAGTGACTAAGTTCCGACTTAGTGTTTTATTTACATGCAGAAAAATTATTTCATATTTTTTAAGAAAGCAGGGATCCTATAGCTTAAAAACTTGATGGAGAAAAACTGAGATCTGTTTTGGATTCGGCTCCCAAACATTAGTTAAAGACAGCTGTTGACCTTACTCAATTAAAAATTGTTTTCCCCAGTGTTATGTGTCCATATCAATTCTTCTCTGAAAAAAAAGAAGTGAGCATAATTGTGTTTGTGAAAGCACACGTTTTGATACAGCACACATTAAAGTGGATTTGTAACTGTCCTGAATTATTGTCTTATGGTGTTTATCTTTTCAGATGGCTGGCATAATTGAGAAACATATTCATCATGTTTGTTTCAGAGCTGCGTGGCCGTGTGTCAGAGCTGGAGAGGAGCATGTGCAGTCACGAGAGAGAGATTAGTAGCCAGGCCTCCAAACTGCAGGACCTTCAAGTCCAACTGAACCAGGCCCGCAAAGACCTGACTGAACGGGACCGAGACTTGACCAAGACGACCCACGAGCTGCGTCAGACCACAGACAGACATCAGCAGCTTGAGGTCAAGGTAGGGCACGATTTTATTTCATTCTATTCCTACTACTTCTACTAATATTTTATTTTTGTCCATTAAACCATGTAGAAGAGGAATGCGTGAAATCTTCTGGCAATGGTTATTTCAATGTTTCTGCTTCTTTTTCTTAGTATTCTTCAGTAGAGCAGAAGCTGAAGCAAGTTACTGAAGAAATGAGCTGTCAGAGACACAACGCTGAGAGCTGCAGACGAGCCCTGGAACAGAAGGTCAAGGACCAGGAGAGAGATAGTCAGAAGGTGCAATGACACAGAGCCCGACCGCCATCTGGCCTTTTAAATGTGATACAATTAAAACATAACACCTTATTAATTTCACTGGATGTAGGAGCTCGCCCAGCTGCAAAGATCCAATCAGACTTTGGAGCAACAAATGGAGCAGACCAGAACTAAGTTAACACAAGAGATCCAACAATACAAAAAAGACAACAATATACTTCAGACTGATTTGGAGAAAGTAAGTCAGCTTGAGTTTAATTTATTCTCAGTTAAATTTTCCATGTTCAGCTCTGTGTCATTGTTATCGTCAAATCGTCGTCTTGCCTTGCTCTAGATGTCTTCTCAGAGGAGTCAGCTGGAGAGGGAGGTGGAGGAGCAGAAACAGAAGCTGCTGCGCTCACAGCAGAGCCTCCAGGCCAGCCAGACCAAAGAGGAGGACCTCTGCAAGAAACTAAAGGTAACTTTAAATGGCTTCTTCCATTTTTGTCTCACCTGACTCTTTCTGTTCCGAACTGTTGATTTACCAGTACAAGTCTACTCTACTATTTGCTTTCACTGAAACAGCCACTTGCAGTCTGGAATTCAATATAATGTACCGGTAATCGTTTTGTCCTGTCATTGTTTTGCCTTTGTGGCATTAGAGCACTGGTTTCATAACATAGTGATGAATGCTGTATAAACACACATTTTAATAGCCTGTCTTCTGTACATCATCTCAGTTAAGTTTCTTTCTGATTCCAGGAGGACCAGCGAGAGAAGAACAGCATTTCTGTCCAGTTGGACCAGAGCAAAATGCGTCTGTCACAACTGGAGGACGAGAAGAAGACCTCGGACCAGAGTCTGAAATGCACCCAAGGACGCCTGGATGATCTAAAAGGTAACTTGCTGGTAGCAACATATGGCCTGCGATCCACATAAAGCCTGCTCTGTTTTTAAATTTGGCCCACCAAGCATTTACATTATTAATTAACCTGTAGTGGTTGTTGTATTAAATTAGCTGATTCTTTTTTTTTTTTTTTTTAAAAAGGTCTATGTATTGATTTTTGAAATTAATATATCAAACTCCACAAGTATTTTGAAAATCAATGACCACGTAAACCAAACGTGGCCATTGAGCACAAGTTTCCCCAACTCTGCATTAGAGGTTAACCAGCTCATTTTTCATTTATTTTTCCTCAGCAAAATGCGAAAGTCAAAATGAAGCGCTGAAGAGACTTCAATGCAAACTGGAGCAGCAGTCGCAAACGTCGACGCTGGAGCTGGAAAACCAAAGGAAGATGCTCTCTGATGCGGAGGCTAAAAATGAATGGTGGGTGAAGAAAAGCTCCATTATTATTCCTTGAGTTGAGGAGAGTCAATCAACTTTGTTGCCATCACATTGTAGGTCCCAGAAGGAAATGCAGAAACAGAAGCAAGCAGAGGAGCAGTTGACCAACAAGTTGGCAGAGGCTATAAAAGAGGGTCAAGAGCTGAAGAAAAATCTTGGCGCCAGTCATGACGAGTGCAAGCAGTTGACCCAAAAGCATCAAGCTCTATTGGATTGGAAAAATGACAAGGATAAACTCATCAACAATGCAGAGGCCATGCAGAAGGAACTCACTGACAAAATCGGTGCCTTGGACAAAAGTCTGACCTCGCATAATGAGGCTAACGAAGAATTGAAGGTAAAGGGGTAGCAAGTCCTGAGATTTATCCAACCAAATACATCAGGAGGAGACATCACTGAATGTCGTTCTTCATTTGGTTAAACTCCACCGCAGTAATTGTTCCTGTATTGTAGAAGCAACTGAGGTGTGCAGAGGAGGACCAGGCGAGGCTGTCAGCACATATTGACAGCCTGAAGGGAGAACTCCTCATCAAGAGTACAGAATTGGAAGAAAGAGAGCATCAGTACAAGGATCTCCAGACTAAATCTTCTGAGGCTGAACAGAAACGCACCAAAGATCTGGAAAATGTTGGTGCGCAGGTGACCCACCTTGAAACGCAGGTGAATTTCTATGATTACTTTTAGCTGTCTTCAGTAAATTTCCTGCTGAACCGCTGCACTGGTCGGCTTTCCACAAATCATTTGATCCATTCAGGTCAAAGATCTGCAGTTGCAGCTGAAAAGGGAGATTGCTCGAGCAGAGCAGGCCGAGAAGAGCATCACCCAGCTGCAGCACGAGCAGCGAGCATCCTCCGACCTGGCGCGCTCCAAAGAACAGCTGATTGAACTTGGCCAAGCTGAAATACGCCAGCTGAGGGACACCCTTGCTCAGGCTACTGCTGAGCTCGAAGAGAGAAATTTAAGGTGAGACATTGATTTGCTGCTCTATCTACCTCTGCCTTAAAATGTTTATTACTCTACTTATGCAACAAATGGTCGCTTCTCCAATAGACACTGTGCCTCCGTAAATTGAGGCGTGTCATTGAACATATCCTTTTTTCCCCCCTTTGGAGACTGAATGAAATGCGGTGGCTGTTCGGCCTGTCTCGATAACAGATTTTTTTAGGATGATATAATTTCCCAGAAACACTTTTTTTTTTTT